CCTGCTGCTCTCTGGACCTTGGCCCGAGGACTACTACCCCACTGAATGCATCGGTACACCTGAAAGAGCTCAAGCTAGCTTTTAAATCAGATCATACTGATCCAGGGTGTCTCTCTGCCCTTTCCACTCCTGTGGGCTGGGGCCGTGTCCTGTTTGAAAGTCAAGACGTGGTAACAGATAGGGGTTTTTTGTTCCTTTCCACTGAAAACCAGGATCTGTGTAATACTGGATATCAATGTTTAGACTAGCACAGATTCTTTTTCCCCTTTCTTAGCCTCCTGTTTTGTAAAACAGCTTCATTTTAAAATCAACAAGTATGTCTTCTCCCTAGTGATACTATTATAAAATTGACCTTGATGGGACAGAAACAGTTTTAGGACTAGAAAGGAGAAGAGAAAAAAAGAAGATCAGAAAAAAGGTTATACTTCTCTATACACCCGATTAATATTAAAATCTTGTACTTACAGAAAAAATGTGAAGGCCTACGGTCCTTCCCATCTCATCATTCTATGCTATCCTCCATTATACAGAAAATTTTCTCTAGTTAACACTAAATCTGGCTGATGTAGAACTTACCTTTCCTCTGCATAATATGCAACAGTGCGACATGTTATTAGCCAAAGTACTGAGTACGTAATGCTCTGCTCTGCCACCACCTTTCACTTTGGATTTTGTTACTTTTTTGACCTAAGCTTTGTACCCTTCATTCATGCCTGTCTGCTTCTTGATTTGAAACAAGGCTGCATCTAAATTTCCGGACACACTATTAACAAACAGCAGGCTGGCTCTTCACCTTCAGTCTGCGGGGCTCCCTGCTGCACCCAAGAAACCCTCTGTCCTGGCTCAGCAGATGCTCCTTCTCCACCTCCACCATCTCTCATACCACAGAGCCTGTAAAACACGGCCCCATCCTCTGCATTTGCAACCAAGCAACCCCTCAGCCCTCATGCTTTAGCTTTTCATGCAGCCTAGCCCTGTCACGCAGTAACCGTGGACAATACAGCTTTCCAGCTTCATTTACAGTTGGCACAGGGCCTGAAAAACTGATTGCCTGATAACAGCCATTGGCTTGGGACCATCTAGAGGACAAAAGGCCCTTTTGATACCATTATCGTTTTTCCAGCCTGACAATGTTGTTCCATTACTTGCTGCCTGTCTGGGGTCCATCAGCTGGCGTTGTGCTTTGAGTACAGTGTTAGACTTGAGCGGACAACGTGTGCCCCACACAAAGGTGACATGCCACGTTTCAGAACAGGGCTCTGACTGGAATTATACCTCCAGGTAGAGAAGAAAGAGCTGGGTGGGCTGCGTGGCTGCTTGTTGGGCTGTGTTAGAGATGATGCCTGTCGACCTACTCCCTGGCCAGGCTGGAGGACTTGAGAAGAGAGAGTGATGCCTGTCATTTTCATTCATGGCTGATTATCAGCCCAGCGGACCCCCAGTTTCCCCCGAAACCAGAAGTTAGCTCTGAGAAGACAGAGGTGGAAGAATGCCGTGCTATCCTCCTGCTCCTTTCCTTCCCATCTGTTTTTTAATTCTGGGGAAGTTTCCAGAAACCACGGCAACACATCCTCGCTTCCCACCCTTCTCCTGTTCACCAGAAAGCCTGTAAGTGCCCCACGAACCTTTTGTCTGTTGTTTGCCTGCCGGGGCTTGTACTGCCCTGGGGTGGAAGGTACTGCCCTCATAATGTGACATGACTCGAGTGGCCCGAAGGATCGTATCTCTATCTGGCGTCAGCACTGACACCTGCTGCACCGATCACATCAAGCTACTATATTTTGCCACTGAACTCCCCGTAAATTTATACCAGAAGTTACAAGACCAGCTCAGTGTCAGTCCATGCTATTTGAAATATAATAATCAAATGCCTGATATCCTCATTAATACTATTAGTTTCTACTGGCATGTGTAGAAATCATGTAGGCAACAGAGGAGGTCTCTGAGGGTTGGTCAGGTGTTCAGTAGTTGTTCCCAAACACTCTTTAACAAAGTTGATCTTCACAGCGGACCGTGGTGCCAGTGGAAGATCACGCCCCTTCTTGGGAGATGTTTCATTAGGCTGTGGTCTTGCACGCACTACAGGTAATGTTCCTGACTGGGCAGCCTTCAGGATTGAGTATGGAGAGCTAGTCAAGAAATTTCCATCAAAATACACCAATCTAAACC